GGGAGGTGGAGGCTGCAGTGAGCTGAGATAGCACCACTTCACTCCAGCCTGGGCAATAGTGGGAGACACTGTCTCAACAACAACCACCACCACCACAACAAAAAGACCCCCAAACTAAACATAATACAGTGGTTTTTCTGTGCTGCTATATACTTTTACACAAAAGACGATTACTATTTCCCAAGAGTTTTAGAGTAAATGTTGATTTTGAAATAAACATATTTTTATTTTAAATGGCTGCACTGCATGGAGGTATGCCACTGGTGATTCTGCCACTGTTGGACTTTAGTGTTCACCCTGATTCTGCACTGAAAGAACAATCACAGGGACCCCCCCCCCAGCCACACCAGCACGTTACTTTCCCACAGCCACACCAGCACGTGCCTTCCCGCAGACACACCAGCACAGTACTTTCCCGCGGCCACACCAGCATGGTACTTTCCCGCAGCCACACCAGTACGTGCTTTCCCGTGGCCACACCAGCATGGTACTTTCCCGCAGCCACACCAGCACGTGCTTTCCCGTGGCCACACCAGCATGGTACTTTCCCGCAGCCACACCAGCACGGTACTTTCCCGCAGCCACACCAGCATGGTACTTTCCCGCGGCCACACCAGCACGTGCCTTCCCGCAGCCACACCAGCACGTGCCTTCCTGCAGCCACATCAGCATGGTACTTTCCCACAGCCACACCAGCATGGTGCCTTCCAGCAGCCACACCAGCATGGTGCTTGCAGCCACACCAGCACAGAGGAAATGCCAGGGCAGTCAGTGGGAGGGCAACTGAGCTCCCAGGCAGGAAGGAAAGGGACACACAGCAGTCTCCTGGACAGCCTTAGACAGTCTGTCAGTTTTTGCTGCTAGAAGCTGGGCTTACTGCTCAGCTTTCATCAGAGTGAGGAATGGCAATCCCCGGTGACACAAGCCTGCTCACATATGGTATTCTCTAAGGAAACTTAACCACCAGGTTGCTGGAGCCATGCTTGAAGCCAGCTCTCTTCAGCCCAGCTGGCCCAGTTCTTGCCAAGGCATGAGTGGTTTCCTGGATCCCTGGGCTATCTAGGCATTAGGTGTTCCTTCCCCAGGTGAGCAGGCGCCCTGGGCCACTGCTAACTACAGAGGTGATAGACATCATGCTGTCCTCCCCCTTTTAATAAGTGCAATTATAAAACCACGGTGACTCCATGTCTACATCTGGGGTCAGGGTGAGGTCTGACCCAGTGTAGAAGGTGGATATGGCTTCTGCTGTCAGGAGCTGAAGCTTCAAAAGATTAATCAACTTCTCTAATCAAGGAGAAGCCTGGGCTCTTCTCTAACTCCAATTTAACAGGCAGGATGGTTGCTTGTCCCACAAACTCCAAATATGCAGACCTAAAGATGTTCTGGGAGTCAGGGGAAGGCGGACCACAGAAATAGAAATAGGGATACTGACATTGATTGATTCTTCCCCGTACATTTTCTCATGGGTCCAGGACCCCCACTTTCCTGCATAATTTGAACTGTAGATTGATGAGGGTGTTTCTGGAGATCTAATTTCCGACTGCTGAACTGCTTAGTCTGCTACAGCTCATTGAAGATCTTAGGCAAAGCTTCCCCTTTGCAATGGAAAGTGAGGTCAGGAAACAGCCCCAATACTATTCCAAACAGTACCCTTGCAGGTACAAAAGAGGTAAGAAATAAATTCTCCTTTGGTTTTGTGGTGTTCTCAGGAAAACACACTTCTGGTTTAGGCATCTCAAATAATCTATTCCAGCTCTGGCACAGGTCCAAGCACCCAGGGGTCAGCTGCTGGACACTGGCCCCGAGGTTCCAGCCCTGCATCTGTCAGCTCAACTTTTCTTCCAGCTGCTGCTGATCCCTGCTTGGTCAGCAGCTCTGGCGGTGGGGAAGAGCCTGGACTGATAATTGCTGGCAACGGGGCCATCTCTAGTTAGTGCAGAGTGGGCTCGATTTGTGGTTCCAATTGATTCTACAGCTTGATATGCAGAAAAGGATGCTAGGAGTGAATTCACCTCATTACTGTCCCCACACTTTTGCTGGCAGTATTATTCTTCCCCATGACTATCCCTGAACTGCCTCTGGATGTCGTGGTGCATGGAGGTCGAGCAGGGAAGCCCCCTACTGGGAGAGACTGAGGATCTGGGGAAAGGGAGACTCAAAGGCCAAGGGAAATGTTGAGTTCAGGCTTCCTTAGAAATCTAACAGGGCTGACATATGGAGCTGAGGGTATAGGCCTTATCAGTTATTGGACAATCAGGGTAAAGTAGGCATTTAACTTGAAGGAGGCCCATTCCATAGTTCATGTGAATCTGAAAAAAGTCGCTGAAGGCTAGACCAGGAAAATGGCATTTTGGACGTAGCACATGTGATGGGCAAATAGCCATCCTGTTCCCATGCTGCGGTGCAGGGCTATATTATTTTTACCCATACAAGTTTGACAACAGAAGACGTCATTCTCCCATTTCAATAGTTAATACTGAGTGTCAACTTGATTGGATTGAAGGATGCAAACTGTTGATCCTGGGTGTGTCTGTGAGGGTGTTGCCAAAGGAGATTAACATTTGAGTCAGTGGTCTGGGAAAGGTAGACCCACTTCCATCTGGGTGGGTTCAATTTAATCAGCTGCCAGCGTGGCCAGAATACAAGCAGGCAGAAGAATGTGGAGAGATTAGACTGTCCCAGCCTCCCCGCCTGCATCTTTCTCCTATGTTGGCTGCTTCCTGCCCTTGAACATCGCACTCCAAGTTCTCCAGTCTTGGGACTCAGACTGCCTTCTTTGCTCCTCAGCTTGCAGATGGCTTAATATGGGACCTCGCCTTGTGACTGTGTGAGTTGATACTCCTTAATAAACTTTCCTTCAAATAGACATCTATCCTATTATTTCTGTTCCTCTAGAGAACTTTAATATACCCAGGTAATAGATTTTTTTTTTTTTAAAGAGGCATAGTAGCAAAGTCTGAGGAGCCCATTTTCCAACCTGTCAAAACAGTGTAGAGTCTCTGGGGTCAAAAGGACACGCCCATGTTTGATGTGGTCAGCAGGCTACCCAGGGTGTGTCCTGCCTGCCCGGTCCACCTTACCTTTGTAGAGCAAGGTAGAGCCCCTGATAGAGGCTTACTGTGCACAGAAGTGAGAAAGTAAAAAGAAAAATATGGCATTTTGGGAGGCTGAGGCAGGCAGATGACTTGAGGTCCGGAGTGTGAGACCAGCCTGGCCAACATGGTGAAACCCTGTCTCTACTAAAAATACAAACATGCTGGTGCCCGCCTGTTATCCCAGCTACTTGGGAGGCTGACGCAGGAGAATAACTTAAACCAGGAGGTGGAAGTTGCAGTGAGCTGAGACTGTACCACTGCATTCCAGTCTGGACAACAGAGCAAGATCCTGTCTCAAAAAAAAAAAGAAAAAGTAAAAGTAAAAGAAAAAGAAAAGTAAGATTAGACGCTGACAACTAATAGTGCAAGAGAGAAAAGAATCTCATTTGTGAAAGAGATGTAACATATTTTGGGTTTAAACGAAATTCAGGACATACCCATCGCAAAGGAAGAAAATGGCTTTACATATTCAGATTTCTTTTTGAAGCTGAAATTTGTAAGTAAGAGAAAGTTAAAAACCATTCAGACAGAATTTGTTGCCGGAACTGCTTTTACATAAACCGACTCTCAGAAGCAGCAAAACTTGTTGCCAAGAAAACCGTAAAATGGTCAAGGAAGCTCTTAGAAATCTGAATGGTTGCAAGTAACTGTGTCCACACAGCTGTGTGTGGACTTAATGGCTTAAAACACACATCTTAAAAAATAAGAATTTGTAAAAGGCAAGTAATGAAACATGCTAAAAAATCAACTGAAAGCTTGTTAAAACTTAGAAATTGGGAAGCTTTGTTTTCAATGAAGTCAAGGTTACTTTTTTTTTTTTTTTTTTTTTTTTTTGGGTCTCTCTCTGTCACCCAGGCTGTGTTGCAGTGGTACCATTATGGCTTGCTGCAGCTTCAGTCTCCTGAGTTCAATCAATCCTCCCCCCTCAGCCTCCCAAGTAGCTGGGACTACAGGCATGCACCACCAAGCTCAGCTAAGTTATTTTTTGTAGATTTGGGGGTCTCATTATGCTGCCCCGGCTGGTCTCCAGCTCCTGGACTCAAGTGATCTTCCACCTCAGCCTCTGAAAGTGCTAGGATTACGAGCATGAGCAACTGCGCCAGGCCTAACAGTTATTTCTTAGCAACATCACAAAGAAAGCTGGATACTTTTTCCCTAGGATTTGAACACAATCTGAAAAGCTGTCACTGTTTCAGAACCTATGACGTTTGGTGTTCTTACAGCTTGTGGCCCCAGGAAGGTGGGGCTGTATTGCCACAATTCTAAGATCCACTTTTTTTAAGAAAACATTTTTATATCTCTGAAATCTGGATGTATCTTATAGTTAGTGGCAGGTCCCACTTTCACTGACAACAGTACATAAAATAATGCAGCACCTCTTAGTGGACGTCTCATAGTGAATCAGCAAAGCAGGATGGCTCAAGGCTGTGCGTGTTATGCTTGTGGATGGGATCTTGGCTCAGTGCCGGCGGCCTAGGTCCTACCAAAGGGGTGCTTTTTTCTAATTTGCTCAAAAGTGTCCTTCCCTCTGTCAGCCAATCTTGCAACGGGATGCATTTGTAATTGTTCTACTCCAACATTGAAAGGATCATCAATGTCTCCTAGGACTTACTCCTTATTCCACACCTTTGCCACAACTGAAACTGAGACCTCTTTGCAGAACGTACCCACTCGCAGCTTGAAGTCGTTGAAGGAGTGCTTGTTGATGGCATCCAGCTTCGCTACCAGAGCAAAAGCAAATTCCACCATGGTGCCAATGTGCATGTACTGCCGCTCAGGCTCCTGAGAATGAACAAACACAGGCGGATGGAAGTTAGAGCATCCCAAACTGGAAGCTGTTCTCCTTCGTCTCAAACCTGAGCTTTAGGCTGAGAAGAATGCTGGCAAATTCTAATACTGCAAGGCACTGCAGATATTCTATAAGAATCAAATCCCATCTCAAGGAAGTGCTGTGTGGCCAAGGGGAGACAGTAGGCACTGGAACACGCTGACTTCCATGTCTCAGGCCCCCGCAGGCCAAAAGCGTCACGTGGGCTAAGGCTGACCAAGGGGAACCTATATTGTATTAATCCAGAAATCACAAGGGAAGCTGGCTTTGAGGAGGGGCTGGCACTTTCTTCTCCCTTTTCCCCTCCACAGCCGACCTTTGCCCTTCTCTGCTGGGCTCTGGCCCTGGGGGACTGACCTCTAGAGGCTACCTGCTTCTTATCCTGGGGCTGCCAGTGGGGATTGCCCAGTGGGAGGTTCCATGAAAAAGAGAGCGAAGAGGAGGCTTTGAGTCTCATTCCTCCTCTTCCCTATTCAGTGCACGCTTTCACTGGGGTCAGTCTTCTTCACAGAGGACCAGGGCTGCTGCCCCAGGTGGCAGCTACTCTGTCTGCATCGCAGCTCTCTCTGGTGGCAGCTACTCTCTCTGCACTGCAGCTCTCTCGTTCTAGGAACATCCCCCTCCTTTTGCCCTCTTATGCCTTGAAAGGGGGGATTTTTGGCTGAATTGTGTCCCTCCAAGTTCCTATGTTAATGTCCTAACCCCAGTCTCTCAGGATATGACCATATTTGGAGATAGGGTCTTCAAAGATGTGATTAAGGTAAAACAAGCTTATATGGGTGGGCCCTAATCCAATATGACTGGTGTTCTTTTAGGAAGAGGCAATTAGGACCCAGTCACCCACCAAGGGAGGGCTGTGAGACAGGACCCAGTCACCTACACGGGGAAGGCCGTGTGAAGACACAAGAAGAAGGAAAGAGGCCAACAGGGGAGAAGAGAGACCTCAGGAGAGACCCACCCCGCTAACGCCTTGATCTTCCGATTGCATCTCCAGAACTGTGAGGCAATACACTTGCGTGGTTTAAGACCCCGTCTGCAGTACTTTGTTAGGGCAGCCCCAGCGAAGTAACATGGGGGGGGGTCACAATTTCTTCATTTACTCATTCTTGAGGGCTGTGTCATCCCACGGGCATGAGGGAATTATGGAGCTGAAGGGGAGAAGTCCTGAAGATTTTCCCACTGCTAGGAAGTGAAAATTTCCATTCAGATTTCCTGTTAATTTCGATTATTCCTGTTACCTATTTATATTTAACATTAATTTGTAGCACTTACTATATTTATATTTTAAATCTCACCTTTTTAAAAGTTTCCATTTTTTGTTACATTATTAGTCTAGGCATAGAATTCATTTAATTCAAGTAAATGTTCTGAAGGTTCCTGCTCTCCCAGTCCTTAATGATTCTGTGCATCAAAATGGTGTGGAGAACGGTTTCTGTTCCAGCCTGCCTGGTGAGCCACTGAGCCTTTAAGGTTTCCTTGAAATGTGGTCCCAGGCCTGCCAGGCATGGCTGCTGGGCCAAATGGACATCGGTGTTAGCACAAAAGCCAGTGCCCTGTGTCTTCTGAAGTCTGCATCCCTCAATGGTTTGTGAGCTCCACCAGGGTAGAGACCTTGCTCTATTAATCTGTGTCTTCACAGCAGAATGACGTCCCTGACAAAGAAGAACTCAATACATGTTTATGAATGACTATACTTAGGTTGGCAGTGGGATCACCAAGAGGAAATGGCTGGGGGGAATGAAGACAGGGACTCATTAAGCTTTGGTGTAAGGACAAAGACGATTGCGGTGCCTTTGGAGAACACAAGCCCAGGATCATGAATGTGCCTACTACAACGGGTGAGGGCTCCAAGGGAAGAAGGGAGAATAGGATAGCAGAGGCTTGGTCTAGGGATATGCCCTCGGCTAGGACATGGGTCGGGGAAGGGGAGCCAGTAAGGCACACTGGAAACCAGCTGAGAGACCAGGAGAGATGGAACATGGGGCTGTTATGGGACTTAGGCAGAGACGTCTAACATGAACGTTGGATCCCAAAGGGAGCTAAATCGGAGATGAAGAAAGGTCTGGGGACAAAGGGGAGGCACCTGGTGACCTGGTGGGAACAAAGCCAACTTTTAGAGACTCAGGAGGGATGGATGAGAAGATAGATGGAGACTGTAGACATAAGCATCTATTCAAGGTGACAGCCAGGTGGAGAAAACCAAGGTGGCAGCTAAAGGGGAGAGGAAAACCAAGAAGGGGTTATTCATCTGCTCTACACAGTGCTTAATAAGGAGCATGCAGGGGTATTGTGCTAACGCAGGGTTTCTCAGCCTTGGCACCATGGACATTTGAACTGGGCTGAACTGGGATGAACTGGGTTATGCTGTGTTCTGCAGGCTATCCTGCACATCACGGTGTGTTTAACACCATCCCCAGTCTCTACCTACTGGATGTCAGTGGCATCCTTCACCTCTCATTGTGACAACCAGAAATGTCTCCATTGACAATGTCAATGCTCCCGGCGGGGCGGCGGGGGGCGGAGATTAAAATTGCTCCCATTTGAGAATCACTGCACTAAATAGTATAAATATGAAAGGAGAAGAAGAATTAAATCTCTGGGCAAAAGGGAAAGACATCTTCCTATCCTCAGGTGAATTACATCATTCTAGAAGAAGGCAAAGGAAATAGAACTACTGCAGTAAATTCTCAACTTAAGAGTCGTGGAAGAAAAGCCACATGACTACAAAACTGGAACTATGAAATTGACTGTCAGCTAACTTTGGTGGAATTTCAGGATATCATTTCATAAGAACAGCTAGTCTTTTCTATGATAGCTCACTAGTATTTTTTGTCTCCCGACTTATGGGGAAAACCTGACTTGGAGGCTTGTGCAGTCAGCTGGAAAACATCTTGCTCCTTAATAGGAAGCACAAGCTGTTAAATCAACAAGCAAAATCTTGTGTAGTAGAAATGACAACTGTCCAAGTAAGGAGGACATATTTGCCACGGGAGCAATGATTTTGCTTTTTACCAAATCATGGTGCAGCAAACAAGCTCCACTCCTTGATAAATTATTGCCCAATCTGTTTTCACAACATGGGTTTAAACTGAAGGTTTAAAGTGACCTCAGTAATGAAAGAAGAGACTGAGTTCTGGGAATGAAGTTTAATTCAACGTCCGTAACTCATCTGGCCTTAGCAAACCCTAGAAAAAATTCTAGGACAAATGTTCAGTCCCTAGAAGGACTCAATTCATTTCAACAAGTCTTTATACGTGTGCTCTTGATAAATATCTGATGGCAGTGTGAAGCAGTTATTTCTCCCATGATCCAAATAATTTCTGTTATATATCCCCAGATACTGAATGGACTTCCAGCTAAACACGGAGACTACCTACTGAGTTCCCTGAAATACAGTTTTATAAACTGGTTGTTTTGGAAGTCTCACTAGCAAGGAACATTGCTTAAAGTAGTTGCATCCAAAATGCTTTTATAACCCAAGTGTCTGTTTGGTAATAATAGAGGTAATTTTTTAGGCTAAAATAAACATAACCTTCCTCTTCTGTTCTCTCTTGTCCCTCTTCCTTCCATAAATATTCACTGAGCATCTGTTATGTGCCTGGCACTGTGTTCTATGCTGGAAAACTTCTGGTGTTCAAGTTCCCCTGTGTCTGATTTGGAAGGGAACTGAGGATTGTTATATAGGGAGCATTTTGTTCTCCTGCCTGGGGCTCCTAGGAGATCTGATCAGACTTCTCAGCTTTTATGTTCAGCCTTCTCCCAGTTAAGCATAAAAGCTGCATACTGTGATAATCAGCTTACCTGGGAGAGTGTTGCCAATGGATACTGACTTCCTCAGGCAAAAATGCGTTCAGCTCCAGTTTCTCCACACAATTAGCTGTGTGGCCTTGGCAGAGTCATTTAACTTCTCTGGGCCTCAGTTTTCCTCACCTGTGT